TTAGATTTTTTTCTTTAATAGTTCAGCTCCAGTATGGAAACATTTTATGCACGAAAACTAATAGTGTTACATGAAGAAAGCAGATACTGCTGGCTTTTCTTTGGTAAATTATAGATTTATAAGCAAGTGAAGCTACTGTATTTATAGAAAGAGATTTATTGCTATTAAATTCAAGCAAGTCAAATTAATAAAAAAAAAAGTAGACAATGTTTTTTAAAATGACACAAACCTATACAAACCTTCAAAGATCTGTGCAAAACTACATTTCAGCAAGAGTCAGTCCAGGTATCTGAGTCCCTTGAGGTTTTATTTCAACATGGTGGTTTGTTTGTTTACCCTTATGGCTTATTTTATTCATTTTGACAAGGAAGTTTTCGCTGCAAATAGGTTGAGAGCTGGCTATACTTAAAATAAATAAGTAAATGAAAAATTATGGCAAGATGCACGGAAGGAACCCTACAGTTCCTGTTAAAATAAATCCGCCTACTCAAAAAAAAAAAAATTCCCCATTGACACAGAATACTTTAAAAAGAAGAATTTGAGTGCACAGCTCCTTTTGAATGCACAGCTGAAACCACTGAGATAGCCTCTGTGAGCAGAGTGCTTTTGAAAAGCTCACCCCTTGTTTATAACAAAGCCAAAAAATGAGAGCTGGCAGGTTTGATTATATGTAGTGCTAAACATTTTAAAGCAAATTCCCAAATTTCGTGGGGTAAGATGCAAGGTTATATGGAAAGTAAATCTGAATTTCCAATTAATTCACTGCAAACCAATTACTAAGAGCATCCTGATTTGAGAAAAATAACAGTATTTCAGCAGAACACTTTTAGTTTCCCCCACATAAGGTTTTTAATAATTCTGTTCTCCATGGTTGTGGTACATTGGGAAATTAACTGGAAGTGGCTTTTGCTGACAATACAAGTTGAACCATGAGATAAATGGAACTGATTTTTAACCTGGGCAGATGATGTAAATGATTTTTAAAGGATGTTACAGTTTTGACTAATTGTACTTGAAAGTAAAACACTTTCTTGCTGTCACTTGGGTACCAGACAGCATTTGTGTGTGATGGGTATAGCACAAAATCTTGCTATTGATTAAGTGTCCTGCATTAGCTCATGAATGCATTTTGCAACCAGACAGATTGAAGCCCGGGGTCCAGAGAAACTGGCTTTCACAACTGCTGGGTTTGGGTAGCACTAATTGAATTTACATATGCTCCTCAGATGCAAGGCTAATAAATGCACATTGATGCATCATTTACTGCTGTCTGCCTATCGAGCAGACCTGCTGACTGTGTAGTTCAGAGGTGCGATACAGGTGTGACATCAGGGGTCTCAGGAGAGCAGGGTTCAAGTTGGTTTTGGTAGTTGAGCTTTGGGAAATTGTTTCCCTTCTCAACCATCAATTTCCAGCTGTTAAGCACTTCAAGAACTGTGAGGAACAAGTGCTTTACAAGAACTCTGTGCTGTTATTTCAGGATCTAAGATAATCTTTTAGTCTCTGTTAATACAATTTAAGTTTGGGGATGAAGGTCATAAGAAAAATTTGAGATTCATGGGAGATTCTCCTAAGTGTGCTGCTGAATGTACTAGTGCACCTAGAGCTGGTATGTGGTGTGGAGGACAAGGTCTTTGCCTCAAACTTTTTATTTTTCCATATTATTTTAATTGATTGTTCATCGAAACCAGGAGACTCATGTAAGAATAGCAGCAAAAGAAAGTTACAATGTCTTCCTGACAGGAAGTCCTCTTTAGTTCCTCCATCCAGAGTAATTTTCTTTCTTTGTTGTTTTCTTCAAATTTACTAATATACATTTAGTTTACTTCTTTCTTTTTATCTTTTCTGGCTTCAAAACCTCCAAAAGAAATGAGATCATTAATAAAGATCATATTATTTAAGTGAAGCATCGCACAAACACAAGTTAATGGGTAGCTGTGATGTTATTTCTCCATTGTGGAAAGGTAAACTGTATAGCAATATATTAAGTCTGAAGCTTTAGGGGAGTTCCCATAGCACCATGTTAATTGCTAACACATGAAGAAGAGGAGCTTGAGAACTGCAGATAGTTTTATGGAATAGTAATTTTTAAAAAAGGCCATTGTTCCTTAGTGCCAGAGGCGAAGTTGGAGCAGGGCACAAAGGCAGTGGATTTCAATCTCCTCATATAAGTTTACGTGTCTTAACCTCTTTCACACGTGAGAAGCTGAACTGCAGTGAAGTTACCTGGGGAGTTTTAAGTGCTTCATCCTCACACTTAAGAGTTATCCTAATACTATTGAGCCACTGGAATGTTAATTGGCATTGGTGTTTTTTACCAGGTACCTATGGTCCCGAGCACTGGGTTGCTTCCAGTGAGAAGTGTGGAGGGTCTCACCAGTCTCCTATAGACATCGTAGACCATCTGGCCCACGTTGGAGATGAGTATCAAGAGCTGCAGCTTGATGGTTTTGACAATGAGTCTTCGAACAAGACTTGGATGAAAAACACAGGGAAAACGGGTATGTTCTCTTCTATTCGTCTCCATAGCCTGCCTGCAGTCAATTAAAAATTCAAGCCATGTTCCATCCTCCTCTTTTTTCATTGTTCTGTTGTTTGGGTTTTGTGGCTCTCTTTTTTTTTTTTAATATAATTTTCCAGTAGGAGCCACCTACCTCTGCCTCTGCATTCTGTGCAGAACTAGTTCTGCAGATTGATTTTAAGGGGGCTTTTTTTAAGGGTTTTTTTTTTGTTTGTTTTTTGTTCTCAGTATAAGCTAATTCTCTTGGTAGTCAGTTGTTCCTCAGAATAAAAGGCAGTGTAAGAGTTTCAAGGTGTAACCTTGAGTTATCAGCTTTGGGAGGCTGTAACATCTAATCCAAAAGGCTGCTGAAATTCAGGGCTCTAGGGGGAAGAAAAGGGGAAATCTTAGAAATTGAAAGATTTTAGAGAAGAAAGAGCAATAACTGCTCAGAGTAGAAGGGGCTTATTAATGTGTTTCTGATATGATTATAGCACAGTATTCTTCACTGAACTGAATTCTTTTCTGCTCTGTCTGTTCTGCCTTTTAGAGAAAAAAGAACAGGCATGAGTACTGCTTATTTTTACCAAAACAGTTCACCGAAAGGTCAAGGTTGATTTATATGCAAAGCCACATGCGTTTGATTACTCTTTAATTCTAAAAATGTAAAACACAGAAATTATAAGACCACCCTCTTCATTTGACAAGGTCAAATATTTTTAGAGAATTGGATTAAACCACTAATTAATTCAATTTTATTTATTGGAAGTATATTTTTATCTTTATTAACATCTGACATGCATCTCTATAATGCTTTCTGTACTGTGTCCATAGCCAGAGGTCTGCTAGCAAAACCCAGGGCGTGTACCTGCTCAGGCAGTTTGCAGCATGACCTGGAATACACCCATGGCTTCCAGGGGATTTTGGATCTGAGCCAGGACCTGGAGTCCAGCAAGTGCTTCAGATCCAGCGGTTCAGGATCTTAGCAGGAGCTGAGAGTTATTGCCCCTCAGATGAAATGGAGTGGCAGGCTGTGATCCTGTTTTCTTTTACTGCAAAGCCAATCCAGTTAACATAAACCACCACCAAGCATAGCTGGGGGTTTTGATGCATTACTGAAGGGGTTTTTTTTCCAGCTTTACTAAGATATGCTCCTGACTGCTTTGAAATCCTGACTTTTTTTGCCCTTTGTAGCAACATGAGGTTCAGACAAGGTTGAATGCTATGGAAATTTGGTGCTTAATTAATCTATTCGTGATATGAACCTTGCCCTTATGGTCACAGAGGCTGTTTGTGGTAATCAGTAATAAATGTAATTAGAAATACCATGAAAAAGTGATGATTCTATTCTTCAAAGAAGGGTGCTGGTGCTATACTGTACATGTATGGACACACTCTGGCACTTCTTGCAGTGAGGGGCCCAAAAGTGAACACAGGATTCAAGATGTGGCCTCACCAGCACCAAGTACAAGGGGACAGTCACTGCCCTGGTCCTGCTGGCCACACTATTGCTGATACAAGCCAGAACCTTGTTCTGTTGAACTGAAATGTGCCAACACATTTTCCAGTCTCCACACAGCTGGCAATGAAAGCTGAACCTTCAGTCTTCTCTGCTGGGTGATTTTAGCACTGCTGCTATATTTGATTTCCTCACCCATTGGGGTATGGATTTTTGCTGACAAGTTATTGCTTCTCAGAGCAACAGTAACTGTCACTTTTTTTGGTAACTTACAGCCTTTTACTGGTAACGTGAAGACTCTTTTTGCCTTGCTGTCAGCCCGGGTTTCTTCTGCTGAGTTCCTGACTCCTCCCTTGTTTTATCGAGTCCCATTCCTTTTCTTGGTTTTCTGACCTTTTAAAGAAAGTTGCCCAGGATTATTTTTTGAGGTGGTAAGTGGTAGAGCAGCAAACCAAGTAGGATGTTTTGGCTTGTGGGTAGAAGATAGAGGCAGGCTGTGCCGTAAATTGCGACGCATTTTGGCAGCAGAGTCTTGGAGCAGATGGCCACGTGAGACCTTTGTATTGCAGACTGGCAGAGACAGTAAACTAAATAACTGCTTAAGCAATGGTGACGGATGTGGAGGGCATTTCTTTGCAATTAATGACTGGTTAAAAGAGACAGGGGTCCCAGGCAAAGCCAAAGGCCCTTAACCTTAACCTTAACGCTCATTAACTGGCAGGAAATGTGTTACTTAGGTTATTGTTATTGCTATAGGACCTAGTCTTCTTTTTTTTTTTTTTTTTTTTTTTTTTAAGAATAGATCTTT